AAGCCAACAAATCAAACTGCATATTGCATTAGGCAGATCTGTTGCAAAAGACTTACTTAATGCTTTGAAGAGCAAAGATGTCACTTTGAAGAATAAGGTGCACTTGAAGAATAAGGTGCACTTGAAGAATAAGGTGCACTTGGCCCAAGCTAATGGTCTTTTCAGTGAATATGGAAGACCGAAGAAGAAGAGATGCAGTTGAGTTATGGTTTTGGAGAAGAGTGTGGAATAGATGGTGGACTGTCAGAAGAATGAACAGATCTGTTCTAGACAAAGTTCAGCTGGAATGCTCCTTAGAAGAGAGATTGTTCAGACGTTGTCTCACGAACTTTGGACATGCCGTTTCAGAGACCCAGCCTGGGCGGAGGACATCATGCTTGCTAGAGAGTCAAAGATAAAAGGGAAGACCCCTGACAAGATGGATTACCGCAATGGCTGCAACAATGGGATCAAAATTTGCAATTGTGAAGATGGTATAGGACCACGCGGTGTTTTCTTGTTTCATATATAAGATTTTGTACTCGACCGCACCTAATAACATCTTAACTAGAACTACCTCATGAGATTACTCAGAAGAATCCTGTTCGACTCACCATTACTATTTGCTCCTTTTACATACATGTATAATATCTGAAATAATTCAATTTTTCACTTCCTTTCTGAGGAAAAAAGTAAAATGGAAAGATACCAAGTGTGTTAAGTAGATGTCTTAGATATTTAAAGCCACTCATTGTTACATAAAGGTCACAGTGGGCCACTTTAGCAAACAGAAATTGATTTTTTCACAGGTTAAGAGGCTAGGAGTCTGAATTTAGGGTGCAGGCTGTAAGGGAAGGCTTTCTTTCTCTCCACGCTCTAGAAGAAGGGCCTTGTCTGTCTCTTTTGAGCTTCTTGTCCTGACCAGTCTTCCTATGATTTGACATCTCTCTTTCCCCCCTCTCTCTCTCTCTCTCTGCTTCTCTTACTTGTTTAATCTCTTTTATATCTCAAAGGAGAGTGTCTTAAAACACACCCTGCACTCACCCCATCTCATTAGCATGACAAAGAAACACACTGCCAAGGATTTACAGCACATATTTTTTTAAGGGGATACAATGTATTCTTCAACAGTGCATTAAGAAAAATGGTAGTTCTTCTAATTTTGTTTTCTTAAGAAGCCTGAAAAATACATTTCTAACTACTGTTTTTCTAATTGGATTATAGACATCCTAAACTTTTTGGAAGATTTCAGTCTGTACATGTTGAGATAGTTTTCTTAGTGTGTATTCAACGTTCTTTAGCATTTTTTTTCTATTAAGGTTTTACATTTTTTAGTCAGGAGAATGGAGAATTGAGTAAACATTTTTCTTTTAAAGGGGAGACCTAAGTTAGATTCATGTTTTTCTATTAGATTGACAGAGGATAAGTTACATCTAATTCTTCAGTAAAATTGTGTTAAGTTTGGATTTACTTCCTAAAGCAAAAGTGCAGTTGAGTATAGATCCTCCCTCCCTCCACCCACCCAGGTGCTCCCACAGCTAGAGCCTAGCAAACGGAGCACAAACATAGTGTCTGAGTCCCACTTTCACCTTGGGGAGCTCAGAGTCCCTCATTTGTTTGGGGAGGAAACGTGGATTCTAGAGAGGTTTCCACTGTGTGCCAGCAATGCTATTCAAGCCAGATCCACCCCCCTTCTCCGCCTGTGGTGACCAGGGTCTGAACTTGGCAGCCTGTCATGTGGAAACCCTTCTTCCTAACCTTCTAGGTCAGCACCCAGCATACGGTGACCCCTACACAGCCCAGCTGTTCTCTCCAGGAGGCACAGCTGGATGAGTGCCAATTAGGCACACCCTCAACAAGGGCTGTTTGTGCTTCTGAGGAGTGTGGGGTCTGAGGTTCATCCTGTACAAGTCTCTAACGCAATTTACCGTATATTCTCGAGTATAAGCCAACCCGAATATCAGCCAAGGCACCTAATTTTACCACAAAAACGGCATTTAAAATGTGCTGAGAAAACTCGGTTTATACTCAAGTATATATGGCATTTTCTTCCACAAAAGAGGACCCTCTCTTCAGTGATTATAGGCAGTTCTTAGATATTCAAGCGTGTAAAAATGTCCTGCTATGTTAGGATTCACTCTTCTTTCCATTTCTGCATTCTGATATAGTTTATTATTTTCCTGGTCGATGTTCTAGAGTTACAGTAGTCTCAAATGCCTCAATTTTTCATTTTTCACCTGCCTTGTTAAATTATTTGAGATATATTTATAAGGAGGAAAAACACAACAAAACAGCTCACTGCCATTGAGTTGATGCCGACTCAGAGGTAAAGTAATCTGTGGAGCGGTTTCAGTGGGGCAACAGTTACTCTGATCTTATTGTACTGGGTAGTCGGTGTTAGAAGTCTCCCTTTCTTACCTCCAGTCATTGACTCGGGAGCAGCGGGTAACTAGGGGCATTGATTATGACATTGCATGTTAAGAAGGATTGAAGTGGAAACTAAATTTAATCAGAGTGTACAAACTTTAGGATTGCTGCTACCATTTTGTAACTTTACCCTGTACTACCATTCTTCATATTTGAACTTTGTGACTTGCCTTCAATGTTACATTTTTACATTTCCCTTTAAATGCAGTTAAATATAGGCTCATTTAACTTTCTCGAAATTCTAAACTTTTTGTACAGTATATCTAATTTGTTCCCTTACAAGTTTTGCATCTTCTTTTTCCTTGTTAAAAGCATTAACAGATGTCCTCTGTTAGAAAATGTTTTGCACCTTTAGACAAATAGATAATTAAACATCTATGTTGAAATATTAGATAGATAAATTCATGGTTCTTCTTCATGTGCTGCAGACACACAGAACTTTCCCTGCATGATTGCCAAGATATTTTGTGGCAGAAACAAAACTCTTGCCCAATGTAGCTGTTATTTGGTTGTCTGAAGAAAGTCCTTGATGATTGTTATTTATCCCAAATGTTTATAACCGTTGATATTAAAATAGGAAAACAATATCCTAATCATTCATACTTGT